AAAGAGTTAGGGAAACTTTTATCCTTGATAAACTTTATTTAATTTTATATGTATTGATTTGTTTATTTAATTTTATTTATTTATTTATTTATTTATTTATTTATTTATTTATCTCCTAGTAGCCCCAGCTGTCCTGGAACATTTATTTTGACCCAGGATCTCACAGTGTGTAACCCAGGCTGGCCTAGAATCCCTGGCAATCTTCTGGCCTCTGCGGCTTTCCAAATGCTGGATTGCGGGAAGGAGCCACCAAGCCAGGCTCAAATACTTGTGTTGGTTTTCTTACCCTTCATTCTTGCTTTATGCCCTCTTTTGTACGGGTCTGTGGAGACGGTCACTGTTCATCTAGTTCTATAAGAAATCACAAGCAGTTGCCAGTTAATTGGCCAAGAGAGCACAGCCGGGCAGCGTCATCTCAGAGTTGAGTACATGGGTGTGAGCTCATGTTTATTGAGGGCCTTTGAGGGGTTACATTGTGCCCCCCCACGTTCCATACAATATGGGTTTTGCCCTCATGGTCATCCTTCAAAGTGGATTTCATCACTGACACTTTGTAGATCGCAAACCAAAGGTCAATGATAAATATTTTGGACAAGTTTATGAGGATGGCCCTCAAGTGGGCCATTCTAGAGCTGTTGTGTTATCCATGAACTGCCCTATCTTGGTGTCATTCTTCGTTCCTTGATTCAAGCCATCACATGACCCAAGGCTCTTTAAGCTCTCACACTGCCCTTCTCCCCCATTTCCAGGAATACGAGTTCACAGTGCTGCCCAACGCCTACATGATCCACATGCCTCATGCCCCCAGCTTTGACATCACTAAGTTCCGTTCCAACAAGCAATACCGCATCTGTCTCAAAACCCTGAAGGAAGAGTTCCAGCAGGACATGTCCCGACGCTACGGCTTTGCCGCTCTGAAATATCTCACGGCCGAGAACAACAGCTAACACCAAGAAGGCGCTGCTAGGGAAAGACGTGCTACAAGGGAAGAGCGGCTCCCTGCCCGGGGCCCAGCCTGCCAAGTCAGAGTGGAGCACTGCTTGTTTGGGTTTGTTTTCCTTTGTCTCTTTGGCCCCACAACGCTTCTCTCATCTGAGCTCTTGGAGGAGGATCCAGCCCATCACCATGAGTCACTTCCAGAATGGGCATAGGAGGGTGAGAGCTAGTGAAAGGTTACCAGCTTACCACAAAGCCACAAACCAAGGCAGGGCTTCTGCACGGTCCCATTGATTTTTTTAGCAATTATGGGTCCAATCCTAGCTGGGGAGAAAGAAGCCAGAGTGCTGGGCGTTAGTCACTCCAGGAAATAAGAGCAAAATATCTTTTCCTGGTAAGGAAATTCTGTTTTCCCTGCAATATAGCTGTGTACCGAAGGGAGGGTGAGCCAAGGACCCAACAACTAGCTGGAGACCCCCGTGTGGACATTGTATATGCAGGGACCTGGAGGTAGAGTCCATTGGTTCTTTATCCTCAAAGTCATTCTTGTTTTGTTTCGTTTGATTTGTTTTAGTTGGGGGATTTTTTGTTCATTTTTGCTCTGGGAGTCCCAAATTTAAAAATTGAATCCTTAAGGCTCTAAAGGAAAAAAGTCACTCCCTCAACCAGCATCACTCTATCAGCAGTGGCCCAGCAAGAAGGCAGGCGTCCTCAGCAAATGCTCACACATGGGCAGCTTCCTTCAGGATTAGCACCAATGCTCCATGATGCTGAGTCCCTAACTGAAGAATCGAGGGCCATGGCAGGGACCGCGGAAAGTTGAGGCCAAACACTGTATGCTAGTCACATTTTCTATAGACAGTGACGAGTCGCAAGGCAAGGGCTCCAATGGAACCGTTTTAGTGTTCATGGAAGGTACTTGCCTAGTTCACAGGAGCCCAATCCGTCGTGACCACATGGAAGCCTCTGGAAGAAAGGGGTTGGGTGCCTCTGTGTACTTCCCTGCCTCACTTTGGAAGGAGGGGAACTGGTGACCTCCATTTCCCCTCAGGACCTGTCTGAAGGTTGGCAAACACCACATTGTTACACAGATGGAGGAAACACTGGACTTTTTACCCATTTTCTTTATTCTTCATTATTAATGTTGTGTTTACATTGATGAGAACAAGAGTTAATGCCCTACCCTCTGCTGGGCTGTTTGTATTGAGTTGCCATGTAACCAGCGAAAGCTGCATTCAATAAATGAAAGTCAGACTGTTTCTTCCCCATTCCCCTCCTCTTGTAAGAAGCTTCATGGTTCAGCCTAGAGGGCAAAGTCAGAATCCGTGCACGGCAACCTCACACTTTCTGGTTATCTTTTTTTTTCCTTCCTGTCCAAGGTCGCTCTCACTTTATCCTCTAACCCTCAAATCATTTTCAACTTTTCCATTTAGCATCTGTCTCACCACTGCAGCCAGATGTTTTATTATTCCAGGTATGCAAATTGTGGGAACTAACTGTAAATTGGCTATCATGTCCTTTGGGCTCTCTTGTCACATGGAGCCCCACAGCAGTCTGATTGATGACAGCGTTGCGTGTTCAAGTGCCGTTTCTCTGAAATTATTACAAAAGTAGGAGAATGGAAATTAGAACCAGTTTTCACCCAGGTTCACGTACGTTTCTATATACGTATTGGTTACTTTTCTCGTTGCTGTGACAAAATATCAGACAAAAGCAACTTACGGAAGGAAGTGATTATTTTGACTCACAGTTTTCCTCATCATGGGGGTGGGGGGAGGCATGGCAGCAGGAGCAGAAAGCCACTGGTCACATTGCACTTGCAGTCAGGAAGCAGCTAGAGATGAGTGTCCAGGCACAGTTCACTTTCTCTCTTGTTTTCTGTCAGGGTCCCCAGCCCAGGGAATGAGGCTGCCCACACTTAGGATGGGTCTTCCTACCTCAGTCAACCTGATCTAGATAATCTCTCACAGACGTGCCCAGGGTTTATGTCCTAGGTAGTTCTAGACCCTGTCAAGCTGATATTACTCGTCACAGTATATAGATATAGGTACATACAGAAAGCATGTTTATTCATAACATATATGTAGGCCTTCTCATTGCCAAAGTAATGAGTAAACACTATAAAAGGTAAAACATGACAAAAAAGTGTTCAGAGTACATGTTAAGGTCAGTTTCTTAAGTGATGATGTCAGAGTCAGCTCCCATAGGCTCATAGAACTTACTATGCCTGTTTATTTCCAAGTGCCTTGTTCCATGACCTCCCCAAGACTGGCTGTTAAATATTTACCTGCAGCACATACTGCCTTTTGCACACACACAGACACACAGAGGTACACGTCAATTCTGCTGGTTCCCCCCAGACTGGCCAGTGCTAGAAGACATATTTGACGAATCATGACCAGCGTCTTGAGCCAAGCTGAGCATCAGTTGATAGCACTGGCTCCTCAGTATTAAATATCCAATTTTAATTCCCTAAAGCCTTTCTTTAAACATTTGTCCTGGCACCTGGTTGGACCAAGCCACCTTATTTTCATTTACATGTTTAGAAAACTTGCCAGAGACTAAGTTGCTGTCCCAACAAGGTCACTCCTGAGAATAAAAGAGAGCTAATTAGTTTGAGATGATAAACATGAACTAGAAGACGATACAGCTTCGTGTACACAGAATTTATTAAAGCTAGATGCTGATACTCCATACCAACATAAGAAACCCCATTTCTCCAAGCCCAGATGCCTGACATTGTCACCAGATCTACTTAAAGCTAAGGCTCAAATATTGGCTTATACCCAAGTTCAACCCAGAAGTTGGCAGCCAGTGGAGGCTGAGTCATTCAAAGCCAATAGCATGAATCTTCTGTGTGTACCTTGGGGAGAACCACTTGGTACCAGCAGTGGCCCCTGTGTGGGGAACATTAGCCATTTGGGCAAAGGTAATTGCAAAGGGTGGTGATTCCTTTGTATCAACTCTGTAGGATGAAACAGACTTTGGAATGGGTCACGCAGATGTCATGCCAACACTGTCTTGGCTTTCACTCAAGAACAACAGAGCCCTCTCATTAGATCCATAGCACTCAGGGTCCAGGAGAACCACTTATTAAATAGACACTATGTGCAGGAGCCTTTTGCATGTATTAGTTCATTGAATCATTGGTGCTGGAGAGATGGCTCAGCAGTTAAGAGCTCTGCTCTTGCAGAGGACCTGGGTTTGGTTCCCAGCACCCACATGGTGGCTAACAACTTGTAACTCTAGTTCCAGAGGATCTGACAGCCTCTTGCCTCCATGGGCACTGCACACATGTAATGCATTTAAGTACATGCAGGGATGACATTCATACACATAAAATAAATAAAAAAAATGCTTAAGCCTCAAAGTAGGTATATCTGCTTATCAGTGAGAAAATTGAGTGTGTTCTGTGAAATTCAATTCCCCACCCCCGGCCAATTCACAAAATCAAAGTGTAGCCAGAACTAGATTTCAAACTTAGCCCTACTTAACATGGAGCCATATAACCTATTATGCTGTTGCACCCCAATAAGAAAGAGATAAAGAAGTATGGATAGAAAAAAAAAAAGGGATTTGAACCCACTGAGGAAGATTACTAATCTTCCTCTTTCAACATCCGTCCAGAAACAATCCAAACAGCAGATTTTCTTACATACTGCAAATCTAGCTTCACCCAGGACTTCCTGAAAGCCCATGTGAACTAGATCAGGGTAGTACATAATCAAGAAGGTAGCTGGGTTCAACTCTAGGGGACGGTAACTGGTTCCCTGAATGCCTCTCCTGGGTTCTTTTTAAGGTTATGAGGCACAGGTAAAATCATCAAATGTTAAGCTCCCCTTTGTTCCCAGTTCAGCAAGCTGCTCCAAAGTGATGTCTCCAAATGTGTTGGGCTGATTTACATGGGACATATTGGCGGAATTGACTAATAGCTTCTTTGTGCCCATCATGAAAGGACAGACCCTACTTTAATACCGTTTCTTTCAAAGACTCTACTGTATTTGAGTTAAGGCTGTGTTTGTGGTTACCAGGCCTTCAGGGAGCTCTGTGTTGGTGGAGAAACGTGATTAAAATCCCCTCTCAGATGCAGCCTCTGCACACGAGTGGTAAAGATGCTAAAAGCTACCGTTGACTGAGCCCAGACTTTGATGGTAATTGGCGCTGCTGGATCCTGCCAGCCATGTTACATTCTAATCCCTTTATTTATGTTGCAGACCTAGATCTGAGAAAAATTACATGAGTTTCCCAAGGTCCCACAGATTATAATGAAGGTATGTGGATTAAAATCAAAATCTATCTGGCTTCAGAAACTCATGACTTTGCACTAACACATGCTGTGACCTTTCTATGTGATGCAGCAGTTAGCTTCTGGGCTTATCTTCACAGTGATACATTTTGTTATTCTCATTTTCTTTTAGGCCTATGGATCCATGTATCAATTTGCTTCTGTTTCTGTTTTTGTTTGTGACACAAAGTCTCCTTGTAGCCCCAGCTGGCCTGGAACTCACTATGTAGATCAAGCTGGCCTCTATCTCACAGAGATTCACCTGCCTCTGCCTCCTGAGTGCTGGGATTTAAAGGCTAATATCACCACACCTGCCGTTTATCAATTTAATGCCATTAACACTTATGAAATGTCATAATCATCTGAAGCCTTTGCAATGATTATAGACCCACATAATCTGCTATTTGAGAGATCATGATCTTTGTTTTCATTCGTCTAACAAAAAATGTTCTTAGGAAATGACTTCATTTCAAAGAATGACTGGTGATTTCCAAAAGGAGGTAGGGCTTCTGATTGTGAATTTGGTCATTGGTCATTGGTTTGTTCTAGCATATTCAGATCACCTTGAGAGATACAGTAACTTCCAGAATATAAGATGCCAGTAGCTCTGGGAAAGAGTTTCCCCATAGGACACATCACTCATCTAGTTGCTTTACCACCAGACAATGAAAGTGCCCTTTCTTCCTGGACATAAGCTCTTAAGACATATTCATTAAGGGAAGTGTTTTGTGTGTTAGGATAGATGTTTATTTTGTGCAGATGCAAATATGAACACTCATACTTTTCAGTTTCTCAGATCTACAAGGAAAAAAGATGAAACCGCAGTATAAAATTCTTGACTTCCCCATCTGCTTCACCTGCACACAGGACCCACACAGTTGGTTCACCTGCACACACCGTCGACCCACACAGTTGGCTCACCTGCACACAGGACCCACACAGTTGGTTCGCCTGCACACAGGACCCACACAGTTGGTTCGCCTGCACACAGGACCCACACAGTTGGCTCACCTGCACACAGGACCCACAC